TGTTGAGGATATGTTATCCCCTACGTAGTGCCTTTATTTATAGTAATAAAAGGGAGAGAAAATCCTTCATCCCCAAGGAATAAAAGTCCATATAGGAAAGAATAACTAGAATTAAATCTAATACAAGATTTACACAATCACACTTAAACTAGGAAAGTTCACAACAAAAAGCAATTTTTCTCCCTGTTTATGAATACAGAGAAGATTTGTCCCAATAATTTGGATTAAAAACAGGCTCCCCGAATATATGTAACTAAGAAGAGTACATGGTAGAGACAAAGTTATCTTGGCCAAAATCCAAATATTTTGAGTTCTAAAGCGGTATGCAAATGCAAGAGTACATTTCTTGCACAAAATCAATTCTTGCATTGTGCTTTGAAAGTATAGATCCAAATTCGTATTGGCCCAAAATATATTTTATATTAATTTAATCTAAATCATGTGGTAGGAGATTCGAACTCAGTTGCATAAAAATAACAACATTCGTTTTAACCAACATGTCTACGCTCGCGTCTACTTCATGTTTTACCAAGATTAACACAAGATATTGATCCTTCTAGTTTATTCATATCTATTTTTCATTTAATTTCCTTGTTTAGTTGCATTTTAGAGGTAGGGTTGATTCAAATTAATATTTGATTAATTTTAATTTTTGTATTGCAGGTTTCAGTCCTAAGATGTCTCCAATTTCCGGCGAAATGAATGTGTTTGCACTGGTGAGTTTGAGTTTTGTCTTCATTAAAAGTTCAAATTTATGAGAGATGTTTTTTTGGCTTTTTTTTTTTTTTTTTTTTTTGGGTTAATCTCAGTTTACTACCTTAAATTTTCTTGGTTTTCAACATTTGGTACATGAAGCTTTTTTCATCCAAGAGTCATATCTCAAGTCTTACTTTTGAGATAGTCTCGTACATCTATTAAGCTTGCTGTTAAGTCAGCCGTTAATTGGTGACGTGACGCCCACGTGAATAATGATTGTGTGCCATGTGTCATTAAGGGCCCACTTGAAAAATAAAAAATAAAAAAAAGAGTGTCGGCCTCCCCCGCTCCCCTTCAATCCCTTCTCTCCTATGTGCTCAACCAACCCTTCTCTCTCCACGGTCACTACTGGCGTCATCTCCCGCCGGCCCCAGCAACCTGATTACCTCCCCCTAAGTCTAAGTTTTCTTTTTTTCTCTCTCCTCTATCTCAGTTTCTCTTTATCTTCTAGGGCCCTTCTTATTGCCACCCCTCAATACAGACAACAGAGAGAAAGAGCCCCTTTCATTTCTCTCTCTCTCAAGGCTTTCGGTTGGCAGAGATATGAACAGTGGTGTTGCGAGAAGGGAGGTGCGTCGTAGAAAAACAACACTCCAAAATTTTCAATGTTCTCAAATAATCACATGGTTTAGATTAACTCAAATTAGAGGCATAGGAAAACAAACTCAACCTTAGATTGACGGATCTACATTGGGATCCATGGATTGAGCATGGATCTGGTGGTTTTTGGACTAGATGCATTTTTACCTAATGGTGGTGGGATCTTTGGGACTCGGGCATGCAATCCCAACTCTCTAAGCTTTCCACGATGATGGCAGCAAGAATTTCTACGTTTTCCGAAGGCATGAGCGCGACAATCATTTCTCGAGGCTTCAAGTAATCTCAGAACCTGAATGGATGGAGGGATTCTGTTGCAGAGAGGGTTGAGGGTTTGCTTTGTATATTTGGAGTATGTATTCTGGTTTAAGTTTCGATTTGTGCCGGGGACAATAGGAATCAGGTTGTCAGGGCCAGAGGGAGGTGACGCAAGTGGTGGCCGTGGAGAGGGAAGGGAGGGAGGGTTGGGTGGGCTTGGAAGAGAGAAGGTAAAAATGTGGTTTTTTGTTAAAAATGAACAGTACCGAAAATGTTTCGTTAAAACTCTCATTTGTTTTCTATTTCAATATCTTGTCTTTGTAGCACCTTTGTGGAACCGTAATTTACTTTTCATTTTGCCACATAGTACTACGGTCTAGTGGTATTTCTCTTCACTTGTAAGTGAGAGGTCTTAGATTCGATTCTAGCCAAATGCGAATTTGGACCACATTATTATTAGCCCATTGTAAGTCTAAGCCTATCTTCTTCCGCTCATGGTAGATAATATCCATATGCTCTTAGAGGAAAAGGCCTTCTCAAAATTTGATGCTCAAGGGAAAGAAATTAAGAAAGGGCTTGAGCCAAGTGAAGCTCCAACCGAGGACCTAAGCAAGGAGCAAAAAAGGTACTAGAATTAATTTGAAGAAAGTTGAGATTCCATTATAAAATCAATTGGCAATGTGAGGAGTAGTCAACCTGATATAAGCACATGCAATGTCCATCCTTTCATCAATGTAGAATTCATTCTCAACAGTTCCCCTCACTTGAACAATACAACTCAGGTGACTTGGAGTGCGTGTGGTCGTTGGGCTTCACACATGGGACGACAATCTGCTCTGATACCATAAAGAAAGTTAGGGTTACACAATAAAATCAATTGGCAATATGGGGAATAACCCAACCTCTTATAAGCATATGTAATGTCCATTCTCTCATCAATGTAGAATTCATTTTCAATATAATTTAAATCAATTTACTTTGGGAGTTGTTTGGACAAAATATAATATACAGATTTTAGTTCGATTACGTACTTGATTTCGTTTCAAGCATTGATATTGGATTAAACCTTCTGAAGTTTCCTTTTGCATTTTTCTTGTTCCAATCAAGAAAATACTCATACTCATCTTTTTTCGATTGTAGAATTATCAAAGATTTATCGAACACTGTCCGATTTGTAGAATTTTCTTGAAGATTTGAGCAACTCTTCCATGCTATCTGTCATTTAGTTCTCCCTTTTGTGAACGTAATGCCGTGTTTAAAATGGTACCTTAGCATTCATGTAATGCCGTGTTTAAAATGGTACCTTAGCGTTCTATATTGACACTCACTGTCTGGACTCCGTTCGAATAGGGTAATAGCTCTAATGAGCCTGCCACAGAACCTGGCAGTCTATTTCCTGATGGATGTAGACTTAGTAGACCGGCTCTTTAGGGTTTTTAATATTTAGTGACTGATCTCTATTTCTGCACAGGACTCACCAGCTGAATGCAATAGGGAGAAGAACGTTATCCCTGAGCCAACCCCGACTGAAACTCCTGAATAAGTAAATTCCTCTACTCTTCTTTAAGATACTATACTCATACTAATCATTCCTCTCCTTTACTCTTCTTTAAGCACTCTAACAAACATTTCAACAACCCTACCTGACATACTAACCACCTGCTGACATGGCATTGCTGATGCTACATGCTAACCAACATTTTGTTCAAGTATGGTGAATTGTCTTGTACACAGAGACAGACACTAAATAAGATTGAACATCTCCGCCAGCCGTATGAGACAGCCATGAGTAAAGCTGAAGCAACTCTAATGATCAAGAAAGATTTCCTCTTTGGCTAACATTTTGAAAGGTGAAGACTTCTTCCACTTATGCTCTTTGGGAAAGACAACATGCTTTGCAAGTAAAACTTGCATATTTGAAACGAGAAGAAGCTACTTTTTGAAAGAATTTTGAGGGTGAGGTTGACGATTTGGAGAGCATTGAAGGCAAGGTAATTCCGTAGTTAAGTAATAACCACAGATAAGTAAGAGCATGAGATAATCAAACGAGAAGCGGAATTAGTATACAAGAAAAGTGTTGGGCTCTTGAATCATGTAAGCGATGATAATTTATCAGTGCAATTTTTAAGTATATGTTTGGGTTAATATTTGAACATTGATATTAAATGAAAGAAAGTTCAAGAGTGCCTAATTAAAGGGAACATGCCCGAAGTCCAACATCAAGTCCAAAGACAAATTGAAGCATTCTTAGTCAAATATAAGCCATGTGCTTACCATTGAAGTGACAAGTGATGGAGACTAACCTACTACCAGCCAAAGAACATTTTTTTTAGTGGCATTACAGATAAAAAGCTGATGACTCACTACCCTCCAAGTGCTTTCGGGCAAGAACAAAGCTACAGCAGTCGGGCTAATCTGCTTATAAAAGGAGGAAGAGGCCCCATAGACAAGGACACTCAATCAATCAATCAAACAAACATACAAACATACAAACTCTGCTATCAAGCCAAATTTGCATCTAAAAGCTGTAATCAGCCCAAATCTCAGTCATTTTCAAGATTATTCCCTTCAAAAGCCATCTTTTGTCTAGTTTAAAGGTCTACTACCTCCCTTAGTGGCGTAGTATCGATTCCCTTGTGTAAATTTGTTTACCATCCATCCCTCTTTAGCGTATAAATCCCTGTAACCTCAAAGAGAAGCGATTGCAATATGTTCAACCTTGTCAAACAAGGTCAAATCTTGCCTAAGGCTTTTTGTTTTCTTTCTAAATTAATAGATCTATTGCTTAATGTATTCTCCAGCATGTATTCAAGTCATTTCCATCGGTTTTCCTATTAGAAGAGTTCCATTTACATATGGATCTGATTAGTTTAATGGATATGTTATCATTAAAATTAATCACGAACTAAGTAGATGACTTAAGGTGATCTGGGCTCCCTTCATTTGAATATACAAAACTATGAACTAAAAATCCTTGTTTACAAGGCAAGAAAAAGAACTTAATGTGAACTTAACCCATCCACGACAATCCTTTGATAACAAGAAGTTCGAGTAACTTGGGGCGCAAGTAATTAACTAAACACACTTGTTCTATACCTGCTATACTGAGATAGCAGTGACACGCCTAGCACTTAGTTAGTTTTGATTGCGAACCTCAAGGCCTACACGTAAGGCCCCACAAAGACATCTTTCAAAACTAACTTTATCCTCTTCTTGTAGCACATCAACAAGTAAGAACCCGACTATACATTCAAAATGTCAATCCCTTAAAAAGCTGTGCTGAGGTCTGCGGAGAAATCTTCGCCCGAATAGTATCCTTTTGGAGCGTTCTTTGGTGAAGTATTAATACCTTCTCATGCGAAACTATGTCAGAGATTTTTCCCTATCTTAATTTCCAAAGATTCTCCTTCTACAAAAGCCTTTCCCCCCACGTCAAATTTTCTTAGCATTTTTAATTGCTACCGCCATTATTAGTTTTATTGACAAGACAATACAAAACTGGTCATAAGATATGGAAAATCTTCTTAGTACACCTACACCAGCCCCTTTCTCTCTGGACTCTCTCTCTCTGCAGAAGGACAACCCTAAAAGAAAACCATCACATAGCCGCCGGCCCTAGCCTTTGGCTTTAGGGTCTATGGCAGCCCCCTGATTTCTCTTGTTTTCTTGTTTTCTTCCTCCTTTCTTCTTCACATATGCTTTCGTTTGAATTTTGTTTTAGTTTTCTGGGCTCTTGTGTCAGTTTTGGACCTTTTCCTCACTCAATGGTAGTTCATCGCCAAACCCATCTTTCCTCCCCATCGCACCTCTCTTTCCTTCCTTCCCTTTGCTCCCCCTCATATTCCCCAACCTTTAATCAGAAAATAGGTCTTGGAGTGTTGGGCTCTATCTTGACCCTAGTCCCAACTCACACAGCTCACTGCCGATCCGGCTTGCCAAAGAAACTAAGCAAAGTGTGGAACAATTCACGTCGGAACAAGGGTGTTTTACACATCCCTTTCACCCTCCTCTCCTCCTATTACCGTTTATGTCCTTTCTTGTAGGGTGCTGTGTCAATTTTGGTTCTTGGGGGATGGATTCTGCATAACCTTCTTAGATCTATCTTTTGGTTAGTGTTGTTTTTGTTTTTTGTTTTTTTTTTTTTTCCAGTTTGGGGAGATGTTTTCCTTCATGGTGGCTGCTATTGTGATGATGGATATTAGGGTTTTGTTGTTGTCTTTTCTTACCTTGCTTACGGACCTAAGTTTATGTGGGCATTCCATTATATATTGGGTTGTTACCCTCCCTTTGCTTTGGCTTGTTTTTATTTATGTCTTGCTTTTTTTTATTTAGGGTCTTATGTTTTTGTGTTCTGGTTGGGTTTAGGCCTATCTTGCATAGGTTGTAATGTCCCTTTCATGGATAAAGCTTTATTTTCGATCAAAAAAGAGATGGCAAATCTATCCAAAACTCGAGTAGACTTTATCATTTTTTAAATGATATGTGTTATTTTTTAGAGCTGCATAGTGATAGGCTTGAAATTCCTATTTTTCAAACAAAAGCTCATCTAATTTTAACATTGAATAAAAGAGAGATTTTTGGAACAATTACTACAAACATATTTACAACTTTTTTTTTTAACAAACGATATTATGCATACTAAGGGTGGAAGAGTGAGATTCAAATTTATCTTTAGTGAGAATCGAATCTAAGACCTCTTATTTACAAGTAAAGAAGAATATAGGCCTCTTGCTTACAATTAAAGAGGAATACCACTCAATCATAGAATCTCTTGTATTTAATATTTCTATCAACTTATTATGTGGTATTTGGTTATTTGCTAAATACTTACATGTTATGTCATTTTTCTTATGATCTTTCATACATTTATGTGATCATACCTATGTGGGAATTGCAAACTAAGCTAAACTGTGAGTTAACCAGTTTGTAGTTATCATCTAGCCTACACAAAGAAAATGTTTGAAGTCTTTTCATAAACAAGGCATAGAAAAGAAACTAACATGGATCTAAACCCCATCCATGGCACAATCTTTTGATTAGAAGTTGAATTTACTTGTGGGGCAAGTTTACTAACATTACTATTCAACAATTCTGTTGGTATTTGACAACAGTAGCACGCCTACCATAACAAATCACTAATTTAAAAGAGCCTCATGCCTACTTAAGGTGTTACAAGGTATTGTAAATTGACAAAATTTACAAACACTCACATAAGGAATTGCGTCTCCAACATAATGTGACCTACTACTTCTCATTTACATCTGCTTCTCTAACCAAATAGTATTGGATTTGAGTAATGAAAAATTGAAAAGTTAAATGATGAGTTCGGCAATGAAGTTTACAATTCTCTGTCTTGTGGGAAATGGATGAGTAGTGGTAAGTATCCTTGTGGGTCATCTGTAATGGTGGAAAACAATGTAAATGTAAATGTTCCAATACTTATTATGTTGGAACCCTATTGGACTCTAAACTTATCTCATTCGGGTTTTGAGTTTAGTAGAAACTAAGAACGGTTAGAGTTAATAGGTGAATAAACTTCTTTCCTTTAAAGTAGGACATTAAGGGTTAAACGTGTTGGTGAGTGGATATCCCACGTTGGAATGTAAATGGGCGTGCAGTTTTGCCAAGTAGTTTCTGTGATAGGTGGAAACGGTTGTGGTTACACGTCTATGAAAGGATAAGTCCCTGCTCAAGAGGAACACGTTCATATATCAGAAAATCTAGCCCTATTCTAGAAAGAACATCAAGTCCTCCTTGAGTAGAAGATTTCCTTTTCTTCCCTGTGATCAATGGCTTCACAAGGTCAGAACTCAAATCACAGTATTACATGCTTGTTCATAATCTATGTTTGCGGCTATATTAAATTCCAACATTTGGTATCAGAGCATATAATAACTCTTCATAGATTCTTTGATGCGTATAAGGAAGTTTGCTTAATTGATTTATTCATCTTTTCGTGTTTTACTGATGATTTGGTTTCTTGAGTATCACAAGTACAGGAATGGATTTTGCGCTAAGATGATTTAAGTTCTAACCTTAACATTATTGAAGGATACATGCTGATAAAACCATTTGAAACAAATGTTTGTAAAGCTTTACCAAAGTGAAGTTTTTTAAGAAATTTTTTTTATAAGGAAGGTGGCATGGTTGTGTTTTATAAGTCATGACATGGTAACGTACTACTCCAAAGACAAGAGGGTTAACTGGTTGGATTTGTGAATCAGTACATAGGTTTTTAATGAATGTTTGAGCCAACTATTTTCTTATCCAAAGATTTGAAATATGTGTTGTAACTTAAGTACTTGTTAAAATGGCTATGTAATCAGGATGCATAAGGTTTTATGTGCATAAAAACTGCAGTAATGTATCTTGCCCAAAGGTGTTGCATATACTGTGATAGTTGTAACATTGTCAACAATGTTGTTTAACTTTTATTTGGTTTGACGGTGAATGCCAATGCACTAAGCTTTTCTTCCATTGAACCACTTAATGGAGGAATTACAAAAAGTGGAGACAGGATGTAGAGATCGTGCTTGGCTTGATGGACAATGACCTTGCACTGAGGGAGGATGAAACACCTGCTTTGACAGCGAACATCACTGCAGAGAAAAGATTGAAGTCTGAGAAATGGGAGAAGTCAAATAGAATGGCTCTTATGGTCATGAAAAGGTCCATCAGTGAGGCTGTAAGAGGTGGCATACCATCCTGTGACAAAGCTAAGGCTTTCCTTGAGGCTATTGGAGCAAAATTCAAGATGTTCGAGAAAAGAGAGATGGCGAACCTGATGACCACACTGATTTCTCAGAAGTTTGATGGCAAAACGAGTGTTCGAGAGCATATACTGAAAATGGTGGAGGCTGCCGCCAAGCTCAAGGATCTGGAGGTGCCAATTAATGATTCCTTTGTTGTTCACATGGCTCTCTCATCCCTTCTTGAGTCATTTGAACAACTTAAGGTGCCATACAATACTCAAAATGAGAAATGGAGTCTTGATGAGATGATTTCTATCTATGCACAAGAGGAGAACAGGCTGAATCGTGCAAAAAGTGCGACGGTGAACCTTGTTGACTACAATGCAAGTAAGAATCCTATGATGAATGCTGGTAAGCAGACTAAGCTTTTTAATACCTCCACTACTATTGCCAATGTTGCTTCTTCCTCTAAAGGACCTCAAAACCTTAAGCCAAATTTGGAGAATGTGAAATGCTATTTTTGCAAACAACATGGACACTTGAAAAGGGACTGCGAGAAACGTAAAAAATGGGCAGTGAAGAAAGGAAAAGGTACAAAGGTTTTCAATGTTTTTGTTGTTTTCAAACTTTACTTGTTGAAGGCCCTTCAAATACTTGGTGGTTTGACACTGGTTGTTTGGTGCATATTACCAATTCCTTGCAGGGATTTTCAAGAAAAATGTCAACAAGTAATGAAGTCTTTGAAGTGCATGTGGGCAATGGGAATAAAGTTGCTGTGGAAGCAATAGGCAACCTCAAGCTCAAGTTGTCGTCAGGCTTTATTTTAGAACTTTCAGATGTACTTTATGTTCCTACTTTAACTAGGTCTTTAATTTCTGCTTCAAGACTTGTAAAAGATGGTTTGCTTTTGTTGGTGATGATGAAAGCATAAGATATATATGAAAAATAATTTGAGTCAATTGTTGGGCATTTGTCTTTTAGACAATGATTTATGGAAATTAGATTGTGTTGTCATGAATGATTTGAGTTGTTACACTTTAGATTCTTCTGTTCCAATGAAAAGGCCCTTATTAAATCATCTTTCTTCCATGCTTTGGCATAGAAAGTTAGGTCATATTTCAAAGAAAAGAATGCAACATTTGGTGCATGAACATATTTTGCCAGCCTTGGATTTTAATGACTTGCATTAGTGTGTGGATTGTTACAAGGGCAAGTTAACTAAAACCAAGAAAAATGATGCAACAAGAAGTAAAAAACTGTTAGAAATAATTCATTCGGATGTTTGTGGTCCTTTTCCAGTTAAAACAATCTATGGAAATATTAATTTTGTGACTTTTATTGATGATTTTTCAAGGTATGGAAGTGTCTATCTAATTTCAGAAAAATCACAAGTCCCAAATTGTTTTAAAATTTTTAAAACAGAAGTAGATAACCAATTAAACACTACAATTAAGGTTTTGAGATCGGATAGGGGAGGAGAATACTTTGGCAGGTTTACTGAGGCTGGGCAACAAAAGGGACCACTGGCTATGTATCTAGAAGAATGTGGCATCCAAGCTCAGTACACCACACCTGGGACGCCTGATCAAAACGGTGTGGCGGAGAGAAAGAATAGGACATTGATAGAGATGACAAGAAGCATGATGAGCAGGTCAGTTCTACCTCAATTTCTTTGGGGAGAAGCATTAAAGATGGCAAACTATATAGTGAATCGTGTCCCTAGCAAATCAATGAGTAAGACACCTTTTGAACTTTGGACTTCGAGGAAACCTAGCATCAATCACCTACATGTATGGGGTTGTAGGGCAGAAGCAAGAATATATAATCCACAAGAAAATAAACTTGATTCAAGGACAGTGAGCTGTTACTTTATTGGTTTTCCTGAGACGTCTAAAGGATACAAGTTTTATGCTTCACACTTGCAAACTAGGTTTTTGAGACTAACAATGCAAAGTTCATCGAGGAAGAAGTGAATGGTGATGAAAATGCTAGCAGTTTTGTTTTCCAGGATATTGGGAATCCCACTGATGTGTTGAGCAATAATGATGAAGGGAGTCAAAGCCTTGGAGAAACTATAGTTTTTCAAACTAGTTTCTCGCAACCATCACATGAAAATAATGTTGCAGAGGGTCATCAAATAAATGAACCACAACACGATGGACCAATAGTTGAACATGATGCTGATGAGTTTCAAATTGCCTTGGAAGCACTAAGAAGAGCCTCACAAAGAATTTGCAGATCGGCGATTCCAGAAGATTATATCACTTACTTTTGTGAAGTTGAGCATGATGAAGGTATAATGACTGATCCAGCAACTTACATGCATGCAATTAAAAGTGAAAACTCTCTATCATGGCAGCGAGCAATGGAAGAGGAGATAGGGTCTATGCATTCTAATCAGGTATGGACCCTCGTAGAGAAGACAGAATCTATGACACCCATTGGATGCAAATGGGTGTACAAAACTAAGAGAGATTCGAAAGGGAAGGTTCAAAGGTTCAAAGCAAGATTGGTGGCTAAATGCTTCACTCAAAGGGAAGGGGTATACTATAATGAAACATTTTCTCCCGTGTCGTCCAAGGATTCCTTGCTGATAATCTTAGCACTCGTGGCACAATTTGACTTGGAACTTCACCAAATGGATGTCAAAACGGCATTCCTAAATGGTGACTTGGAAGAGGAAATTTATATGAACCAACTTCCTGGTTTCATTGAAGAGGGCAAAGAACACCTAGTTTGCAGATTGAGCAAGTCTATATATGGTCTAAAGCAAGCATCGAGGCAGTGGTTTATGAAATTTGATGAAAAGGTAACTCATATTGGCTTCACTGAGAATAAGGGTGATGATTGCATTTATTTTGAAAGCATTGGTTCCAAGTTCATTTTCCTTATACTTTATGTTAACGATATACTTCTTGCAAGCAATGATTTGAACCTATTGCTTGTTGTTATCAAACACTTTCGATATGAAAGACTTGGGGGAGGCCTCATTTGTTCTCGGCATAGAGATTAAAAGAGACAGGTCAAGAAACTTGATGGGGATTTCACAAAAGTCATACATTGAGAAAATATTAAAACGTTTCAACATGGAAGGATGTTCAGGAGGAGAAGTCCCGATAAGCAAATGTGATAAATTGAATAAGGAGCAATGTCCTAAGAATGACTTGGAAAGGAAAACCATGTTGAACAAACCCTATGCTTCATTGGTGGGGAGCTTGATGTATGCTCAGGTTTGTACTAGACCTGACTTAGCTTACTCAATTAGTGTACTTGGGAGGCATCAATCAAATCCTGGAGAACAACATTGGGTGGCAGCTAAGAAGGTATTGAGATATTTGCAAAGAACAAAATCACACATGCTTGTGTATGGAAAAAGTGAAAAGCTAGAGGTGGTAGGGTACTCTGATTCGGATTTTGCAGACTGTACAGATGATAGAAGGTCCACAAGTGGTTATTTGTTCTTCATGGCTGGAAGAACAATCTCGTGGAGAAGTGCAAAATAAAAGACACTTGCGACATCAACCATGCAAGCTGAATATATTGCTATTTTTGAAGCCAAACAGAAAGCACTATGGATCAAGGATTTGGTTAGTCTAATGGGAATCGTGGACAATATTTCAAGACCAATTGTTATACACTGCGATAACAAAGCTGTTGTATTCATCTTTAAAAACAACAAGCAGTCTTCTGCAAATAGACTGATAGACATCAAATATCAATCTGATAGAGAGGATGTCAAAAGTGGTCTGGTGGTGATTGAGCATATTGACACTGGTTCAATGATAGCAGATCCCTTCACCAAACTATTACCAGTTGCAGTGTTCAAGCAGCACGTTGCAAAAATGGGGGTACTAGAGTCTTTTGATTCTGTGACCATGTGGGAGTAAAACTTAGTCTTGTCTTATTTGCTTTGTAGTTGTTTATTGCAATTGATGAATTCTAAATTTATTTCATATATTGCTTTTGATTTGAGCTAGTAATCATTAATGAGACTTGGCTGAAAAGCTATGATCATATATGTGATATTTCTGCAATGAAGCTCGATTGTTTTAAAAGCTTTTCAGGTGGCTATTTGATCCCACTTTTCAGCATGCAAAAAAGTTGGAAGTTGGATTATTGCTAACTGAGGCATTGTTAAGGTAATGGGAAAAATAGTGGGAGCATACAGTAAAGCTCTCTTATAGCTAACATGTTTAAGCATCATACGTGAATAATTGAATGTTATAGTGATTTCAGAGTGGCTGCACCATTTTGTGCAAATTTTTTTGAAGTTCTATAACTTGGGTCATTCATGGTGGATGTGTGAGGATGTGTTTATTTATTTATTAACTCATGTGATCATTAAGGAATTGTTGTCAATAGAAACATTGTTCAAAACAAAGACGATAAGTTTAGGTCCAAGTGGGAGAATGTTGGAACCCTATTGGACTCTAAACTTATCTCATTCAGGTTTTGAGTTTAGTAGAAACTAAGAACGATTAGAGTTAATAGGTGAATAAACTTCTTTCCTTTAAAGTAGGACATTAAGGGTTAAACATGTTGGTGAGTGGATATCCCACATTGGAATGTAAATGGGCGTGCAGTTTTGCCAAGCAGTTTCTATGATAGGTGGAAACAGTTGTGGTTACACGTCTATAAAAGGATAAGTCCCTGCTCAAGAGGAACACATTCATATATCAGAAAGTCTAGCCCTATTCTAGAAAGAACATCAGGTCCTCCTTGAGTAGAAGACTTCCTTTTCTTTCCCTGCAATCAATGGCTTCACAAGGTCAGAAATCAAATCACAGTATTACATGCATGTTCGTAATCTATGTTTGCGGTTATATTAAATTCCAACATATTGTGGTAGCGAATTTCCAAAGAGTGAGTATTTAAAGCATTTAGGTAGCAAAAGCTTACCAAATTTTGATAGAGATTGAAGTATTTATAGGAGGAGAGAGTCATACACAATGTTAGGGTTTTATCCTACACGTGGCAGCATCATATTGACTAAGGTATGAGGAAAATGAATATTTTCAAGATATTAAATAGAAAAAAAAAATATCTTGAGACAATGGTGGAAGTATCCCAAATTGATTGAAATAAGGATTACTTACTTGATTGAGTTGATCTCTAATTGGAAATGTATTAAATATAGGATTTGGTAATTAATCCCTATCTTTAATGACACGAGCAGGAAAGCTATGAGCAGTCGAATTTAGTTGCTTAAATATTTTGAGGTGCTGAGCTGCGTGTGGGAGTATCTAAGAGGCCTACCATTTAATGAGGGCAATCTTGTCTTTCTTGAGCAAAAATCCACATGTCGCCTCCATAATTTTTGGGATTATTTTAGGCTCCACACTTATAAATGTCATGTCCCACAAATTGGGGCTTAATCCAAATTGAATAAGTTTTGTAATAGAATAGGTTCTTTTTATAGTGTCCTTAAAGTTGGTATATTTTTTTCTTGTTAGCACATATATTTAAAAATCTCATTGTGCATTTTTCACAAGTGTGTTTTTCTTTTTTAAATATTAAAAAATTGCAGTACATAATGAACATATTGGAGTCCCCATAACAATGTTTTATTTAAATTTGTATTTAATATAACGAAAAAGTAGTACCCGGTCCATAGTTTCTAATGTTTATTGACTGAGACCTTATCAATTTTTAGATTTTGATCAAAGTCCCTAGCATTAATGTATTAATGAATTAAATGTCAGTTACATAATTTTTTAAAAATAAAAATTAGTAATTGATTTAGGGTTTTAATACTCACATCCTTATTAAACACCTAATTAATTTTCAATTCAAAACATTTCCAAAATAAATAAATAAAAATTAGAATAAGTTTGTACCCATTCATTTTTTTATAAAAAACAATGTTCAATTTTTTATATAAAATATTTCAATTTTTTAATTCTATATGTACCCATTCATATAATTCTTCAATTTTTTATAATCTTAAATGTACCCATTCTTAAATATACCAACTTGTTATCTATAAAATGTACCTTTTTTAATATAAAATTCATTCAA